AGCCGGGTACTTCCTTGGGTGAGAAGAGGGAAATTCCGGGGAGTCCTGGCTTGCCATCATCTCCCTTAGGTCCGTCCTCTCCAGGCTTTCCAGGTGGTCCTGGTGGTCCTGGTGGTCCCGGTGGGCAGGTGTTGGGCTGAGAACCGCACTGGCAGCTACCGGCAGCACGTTTGTCACGTCCGAAGATAGTTCCGGCAATGTCGCTCATTTTGGATGATGGGGTTGGGATTACCATTTCTTTCCAGGCTTCGTTGGCGAGCATCTGGAAAGTGCAGTATCAGGGTTACAAGTAGCCAACAGGGGAAATCCCCGCAAAAAATGCAAGAAAAGTTCCTTACCTTGAATTCTTGCATATCATCCATAACATCGTCGTAGAGATTGTTGATATCTTGGAAAAGCATTCCAACACAGATCAAACTGGCGACGATCACAAGCGCAGAAGCGCCAGAAGCGACGGTAACGAAGAACTTAGCGCTCATTGCTGAGGAACTATTGTGGCATGAACAATCTCGGATATTTATATATTGGAAAGTGGGCGTGACAGTGGCGGGTGTGCGGCTACGCATGACCCTGTAAACCGCCCGATAAGGCCCCCAAGGCCATGCGCACTTTACAAAATTTTTGCGAAATCACACATCGGCGACTTCATGGGTATCCGTCGTTGCAAAACCCGTGTTTGTTGTTGAGAGAAAGATGGCATCGTAAAAGTGAGAATCGCGATGGAATTGTAAATTGACACACGCAGCTGGAGGCCACTGGGAGATGGTCTTTGAAACAGGTGGTGCAGACCGAGTTTGATTTTTGTTTAGTCTTGGAACAGTTCCAGAGGTAGAAAAGTAGCAAGCATAGGGAGAAGGTTCCCATTTTCTTAGCTTGGTATTCAATCAATTATAATTACCGTACCTATGTACTACATACCGTATGCCATAGTCTGTGAAGTTCAAGACTCTTTTTCTTTTCTTAGCTGGCGAGCTCCTTACAGCTAATATAAAAATGATTTGGAGCTTCAATAGCAGCTCAGTCTTTTTACGTCAGTTTTCATTGCAGTATGGGGGTTCTATATCTTTGCGGCGTGGCCTTAGAAGTTTTTAATCTTTGTTAGAATCGAAAGTTTGAGTGCGGCTAAACCATCATACGTTTTGTGTGCCAGAAGAACTTGAAAGAAGTGCAAAAATATAATATTGGAGAAGTGGAGTGTTAATTCATAAGAGGAAATCTCAAGTTTTTTTTATCATAAGGTTTTGCGAGTATATAAGGATCACCTCGAATCTGTTTGATCACGTCTTATGGAAATTTCCCAGTATAAGCTGAGTGACTTCAAAGAGTTACCGTACTCTTTTGCTAAATAACGATAAAGGGTATTGTTCTGGTATGAAAGTAATAATTCGCACACTTGGCTTGGTGCGTAAGTGAATCTATAGGTCTTTAAAGTGAACTAGGAGTAACTATGTTATTTTTTAAGCAGGTATCCACAAATCCAGGTGCTGACGTTGTCCCGAAAGTTCGTCGTTTCATTGAAGAATTTCTGATTTTTCCTGT